CTTAGTTATCTAAACCATAGACCCTAAACCCTATAATTGTGCATGTAATTTGTTGCATATGTTTCAACGAATCATTACCATCGATTTTTGTTTCTAGTTAAATTGATCTTAGTGTATGATTTTTTTAGAATTAAGGCCTAGATTTTAATCTATAAGAATTAGGGTATACTACCACATTGCAAACTTTGGTAATTCGAGGTCTAGATAGCATTTTCTTACTCAAGGTATGCTATACCTTGATTTTAGTCAAGAAGCGATAGAACCATCCATATATGTATATATAGTTCAAGCTAGTGTGCACTATACTTTTTCATTCACACACACTACCATACGACCATTGACTTTTACTATTTAGACCCCGAATTAACCGGAGTTTTTTGGGGCATGATATTATACCCTAACCTCTAATGGGTGAACTCCAGTCCCTAATTCTCTAACCTCTAATTTATGCACATACTTCAACATACATATCTTATATCATATTTTGAGTAAAATCAAAAGTATAGTATACCTTGACATTATATATGTGTGTGTATATATAGTAGGCTCAAAATTATCCAGATACTTCACCAGACCTATCTTATATCCCCTAATACTCATATTAAAAGTGCTACTTGCTTATCCCCCACCCCGGGATAAAGTTCCTGCTTTTACCCCCATAACATCAAATAACCATTGGGGTTGTCTATCGTTCGATATGTAATATATAAGAGGCAAATCCTAAGATCCTGCTATTTATTTCATATTCTCTCCCGCCGCTCCCTTTATGGAGAATAAAAGGGTAGGGATGACAGGATCATAACTCGATATGGTTTATTATGTTCATCGTATCAGAGGTTATGTTCCTTTTTGCTTTTTTGGGCTTCTTTTCATTCTTCTTTGGCACCTATGGTTGTGATCAGAAGTATTTAGCCCTCGAAAGAGATTGGGATTTTAGGTCCTTTGGAAATCCAATACACATTCACGATCCCCCGAGTTTGGACGAAATCTCGACCAATGTTGTAAATATTAGGACTTTTTAATGAGAAATTATTAGTAAAGATACTTCATTATTGGATCAATTTATTCATCCAAATTGAAACTTGACACAAACTGTATCCCTCATGATGATTAAATTCTCTAATCTCGACTCATTTCCACTTTGGATGTTACTTTTTTATCAAGATACTTAAATTGAGTATATTATACAATATGTATCAGTTGTTAATTCATGAAGTTTAGACTGAACCTTAACCCATGGTCATTGTTTATATGTTGATTTATGATAGACCATTGATTGCACATGTTTTTATCCCTCTCCTTGAGCCGTTTGAGATGTCGATTCTCGCATTTTAGGCCGATTTCACGCTAGGTTGTTCTTGTTTGTGATATTTCAGGTCCTAGTACGTGAATGAAGGTTTAGGAACGAGTTCGGGGTCGATTGGACGAAGTTTGGACGTTTGGCGAGAATCTCAGAAGCCACACGGGCATGCCTAAAGGCCACACGGCCGTGTAGGAGACCCATTGTGGCCGTGTGAAGTCTCGGCAAAAGCCACACGGGCAGCCTGGTCACTCACACGGCCGTGTGGGTCGTGGCCATGTAGGATTCCCGAGTCACTTATCAAAACGCTGCGGTTTGCACAACTCACACGGGCAGCTGGGGATGTCACACGACCATGTGGCCTGGCCGTGTGAGTCGGGATTTTCTGGTTTTTAAGCCAATTTCCAGCCACAAGTGAGGAGTTCCGAGTTTTAGAGAAAGAAAGTGATTCCTAGAGAGAGAGAGAGAGAGAGAGAGAGAGAGCGACGAACCAGAGTTCCCAAGTGCCTTAGCTTGATCTTCATCACCATTGGAGCTCAGCTCACACTTGGAAAAGTGCCGATTGATGACCAGGAGCAGATTCTCATCCTTCATAGCAAGATTTCTGCATCTGAGCTTGCTTTTGCTTCTCGCTCCATGGAGTAACTTCCTCATTCATCTGGGTATGGAGAACCCTAGATTTGTGTGTTAGGTCTGATTGTATGAACCCAAGTACAGATTCTTTGATATGATTATGTTCAATTGAGGTTTGAATTGTTGAATGGCATGAATCCTGATCAAATTTCTGTTGTTTCTGCTTTAACCTAGAAAGAGAATATCTGCCTAGGTTGATAGAGCACCCTTGATTGAAGGTAGGGAGTTGGTGACTTTAGTCGAGGAGCCAACTCACTATTCTGTACCGAATTCACTTCGGTATTGGAGGTTTTGTTCATTAGGGCCTCAATCTGTTTACTCCGGTGGAGGTTAGTCGCCCGCTGAAGACTCAGATTGAGAGGGTCTGGAGACCTTTTGTTAATTTGGACTTTCAATAAAGTTTCACTGCTAGATAATAAGAATTCACTGAGTATTCATCACATCTAGGACCCGGGTTGATATTAAAACCCAAACCCGCTATACTACGCTTTAGGAAGTGGTTAAACTTGGCCATTTTCTAGAGTGACACTAGGAGTGAGTCATCTTAGAATCGCAATCTAAGACACTCACACACACACTATCGAGGATTTTGGTCTTAATATGGTCCTTGAATGTGTAATTTTCAAAGATTTTATCACTTATATATTTATAATTGACAAAGAGTGTCTACAATACACATATTTCAAGTGCATTTAAAATGTCTTATCATTTGAACAATATCGATGTATTTCGTTTGATTATTTGCATTAACTTATTATCTTATACAACATATATCAATTCGTGATTTTCGAGTTTGGACGAACTGACAACCAATGTTGAGAGTTGAGATTATTGGATAAAGATACTTGATTGCTGGATAAATATGTTTATCCCAATTGACTATCTTACTAAAAATTGCCAACCTTTATTTGGTAAATGCCTAGGTTAGTAGTTGATGAAACGTAATGTTTATCGTATATTCTCATGAAAGATTTCTCTAACCTTCACATATGTATTTTTCAAGAAATCTTGTGTCTCATCCTAGGGTATGAAGTAAAAGTTCGTCAACAATCATACCTAAGTCAATTTGAAAATTTTGATTTATAATCGTGGACGATAACTCCAAGTCTGAAAGAAAATTTCTTAGCATACGACTTAGGATCTCAATAGAGCTTTGATCAATCAACATGACATAGAGAAACTATTGTTAATGTGAACTTAGGACACATTATAAAATTATTGCAAATGCGATCCCTCTTCATTTGAGGAGTTTAAGATAGAACATGATCTGAATGAATAAGAAGTCTTTTTTAAATAAATAATTGTAACTACTCGATCAAAATTATACTCTGACATTTTGCTAAATAATACTTGTTTTATTTTATAGACATATACTTTACGAATAAGAGAGTGTTTCATTACAACAAAATATAAAGTAATATAATTTATTTTTCAAAGGTAATTGAATGTCAAATGTTTATTCTCTCTCTTTTCATATATATTTTTTATTTAATCGATAAAAAAATTATTGTTATGCGTATGTTTGTTTAATTTTTTCATCAAAATGGAGCTTATCATTCAATTTTAATAAAATGAGTAGAAATTTTACTTCATAAGGTTTAATTAAGTATTTTTTATTTAAAAAATGTGATATATGTCACTCTCTGTTTTATTATTTATATTTTGTTACTTGACAAAAAATTATTATTTATGTGTGTTTGGTTAAGTTTATCAACATGTAACTTATTATCAAAGAAAAAAAAAGGATAAATGAAAAAGAATAATTGGATAAAAGAAATGGAAATATTAAAGAAGAGAGATGTAGCTCCATAAATACATTAATAACTACTTTTTTTGTTTGTAAAAAAGTTGTCCAACTTGGCAAATTGTTGATCCTCCAAGTGCTTATATGGCAATAGATTACTTTTGAAGTGCCATAATATATAGTATAGATAGATAGATAGATAGATAGATTAGCTTAAAATTCGAGACTTATGGAGGCGTTATATTTTGTAAAGAAAGTTAACTTAGAATTATTATGTGAAATTAGAAAGTAGTATTATACAAGGCAAACACCGAAAAAATTATGTTTTGTTGGTGCAAAATTATTTTATTTCCGTGGCTGGTTTATATAGTAGTATTGTAATCGATCTGACCACCCAGAAAAAAGATTAAATGGTGCATTAACACAGCAAAACCATCAATTACTACTAGGGATGGCAATTTCGACCTGATCCGATTTACCCGACCTGTTTTGGGGTGGGTCAAACCCGCCCCGTAGGCGGGACGGGGCGGGCATGGGTACCTCTCATCGACCCGACCTGCCCTGACCCGCCCCATTTTGGACCCGTTCTTGCCTAAATTACATATAATCTTAGTCAAATTACTTAAGATTTTCCTCTTATTACATTATATTTTAGCTATAATAAAGTTGTAAATAAGTGAAAATCTCAATTTCTTCAGTAATTTAACTCCATTTTATCATATTATGGTTTCTTTCTTGGTCTTTCAATGAAAAGAATGAATATTTCTAATGTTTTTCATATAAATTATATACCCAATGGGTCGACCTGCCCCAATCCGCGCCCCGTGATAAATTACCCGACCTGTACCCGACCTGCCATGGGGCGGGTATGAGTATCGAGATACCCGCCCCGGACCTGCCCTTACCATCCCTAATTACTACCCTAAACCTTGGAGCTTGTAATTTGGTCCAAAAATTTGCACTGGGCTTTCTGCCCGGTCCAAATGAGGAAACACAATTGGCTCTTACCGCCTACGAAGAATGCAAACTTGCCAAACACGGCCTTTCTCATTGTGATCCTGATAAAAATCACCCTCTCATTGGCAAAAAAAAAAAAAAAAAATCCCCCTCTCTCCCAATTTTGGGGTTTGTGTGGAAGACAATGGAGCGAGACATCTAAATCACTTCCCCGCCACAGACCCCAAATTTATATTTTCTATTGAACTATCAATGGCGTTATCCAAATGCTGCTGCTCTCCTCGTCTTCGAACCTCTTCCTTCTTCCCCCTCTCTCAAATTTCTTAACATAGAGAGGAGCATAAACGAGAGCAGCCATTTTTAACCATGCCATTTTCCTTCTCTGCTTCTTCCTCTTCACCTCTGCCTCCTGCTTCCTCTCCTTCCTGCAGATCCTCAACTCCAAAACGACCCAGAACCCATTTCTCGTACCCTCTCCTCTCCCCAAATCTCCTCTCCAAGAAGAACAACCATCCATTCCTCCGGACATACCCACACCGCCGCCGGCAGCGCGATTTCCCCTCCTGCGCCGCCGTTCCGGGACTCGATTTCGGCAACTTGGACTCAGTCTTGGAAGCTGCCGGAGTATTGACCGCTATCATAATCGTGCACGAGAGCGGCCACTTCCTCGCCGCCACCCTCCAGGGATCCACGTAAGTAAATTCGCAGTTGGGTTCGGTCCTATTTTGGCCAAGTTCAATTCCAACAATGTCGAGTACTCGCTTAGAGCTTTCCCTTAGGTGGGTTCGTGGGGTTCCCTGATAACGATCCCGAGAGCGATATCCCAGCCGACGACGAGAATCTGCTCAAGAATCGGCCGATTCTGGACCGGGTATTAGTGATTTCAGCTGGTGTAATTGCTAATATCATTTTCGCCTATGCGATTATCCTGGTTCAAGTTTGTTCGGTTGGTTTGCCCGTTCAAGAGGCATTTCCTGGTGTCCTTGTCCCTGAAGTTCGACCCTTCTCTGCTGCTTCTAGAGATGGGTTGCTCTCTGGTGACGTTATCCTCTCTATCAATGGTGCTGAGATGCTTAAACCTGGGGTTAACTCGGTCTCTGAGGTTGTCGAGGTCATTAAGTTGAATCCCAAGAGAGACGTGGTGCTGAAAGTGGGGAGAGGACAGCAGGATTTTGAAATCAAGGTAACCCCAGATGAGAGTTCTGATGGAACTGGTCGAATTGGAGTTCAGTTGTCACCGAATTTCAAAATTGATAAGATCGTAGCTAGGAATATCATGGAGGCGTTTAGCTTTGCTGGAAGGGAGTTTGTGGGCCTTACCTACAATGTTTTTAGACAGCTTGAGGCAGACTGTGATGAACTTCTCACAGACTGCAAGTAAAGTTTCAGGCCCTGTAGCTATCATTGCAGTTGGTGCTGAAGTTGCTAGGTCGAATGTTGATGGGCTTTACCAATTCGCGGCACTACTCAATTTGAACTTGGCTGTGATTAACCTTCTCCCTTTGCCTGCTCTCGATGGAGGGTCTTTGGCATTGATTGCTGTGGAAGCAGCCAGAGGTGGGAGGAAGCTACCTTTGGAAGTGGAGCAGCGAATTATGTCGTCGGGGATTACGTTGGTTTTGCTTCTTGGGATGTTCCTCATTGTCAGGGATACATTAAACCTGGATTTCATCAGAGAGATGTTGTGATTGATTACTTTCATGAGAGTATTCGAAACTGAAGAATGAAGGTGGCCAATGTGGATATGACACTGAGTGGCGGCTAGTTGTAGAAATGGTGTACAATTGGTATGGTTTCTTCAACCAGATGGGTTTTGGAAGAGGTATTTCCATTCATGAATCAATACTTTGTGGTTTGAAAATTAGTGTCAACTTGTTGAATGAACCGTTTTCTGGTACAGTTTCTGTAAGTCCTAAACAAGTTTAAAAGGATGATAGTGAATTGGTGATGATACCAAACTCTTCCACAGAAAAAGATGTCTGATGATTGATAACATCTTAATCCTTGGCATTCCAATTCGGGCCCTCATCGGTAGTCCATCGGCATTCTGCACTAGCCATATCTGCTGCTTTTTTCTTTTGTCTGCTTGTTGATGTATGATCATAACGTACCTAACCTATTTGATAACTAAGGTAAGGGTTGAACGAAGAATAGAGCTTCCCTTCCTAATTTGGAGTGTGATTTAGTGCTGCAAATGGTGGTAAATTGCCGGTGCAGCGTGGAGGAGCCGGGACAGAGATTAGTTGCTTCAGAGGTTTAGATAATAGCTAAATGGACAGACTGCAATTTCAGATGGCGGCAATTTCTTTTTAACCTTCAATTCTAGCCGGGAGATGTGCTTAATGTCATTTTGTGCTATCCAACTATAAATCACTTCCAAACAACTTTCTCAACTAATCCAGCATCTGAAATTATATTCATATGCTTTATTTTTTTTCAAAAGATAATCGATATATTGATCAGAAACAAAGGTAGTTACATCCTGAAATTGAGCTAGGCCAGAAAATTAAAGCAACGACTCGTAGTCGGGTACAAATGAAGTTGGTGGCCCTATTACTACGCCGACCTACAAACCGAACAGAGAAAACCTCCCATCGAACCAAAAACCCCCCACAATCTCCTGAAGGAGCGCCCCAACTCTACTATCCCTAGTAGTTGCCTGATTAATCTTCTCAATAAGCACCTTGGCATCCCCCTCAAAGCGCACCTCCACAAACCCAGAATCTCGGCACCAGAGAACAGCTTCGCGAAGAGCAAGAGCTTCAGCAACCAACGGGTCCTCGATGCCTGCAAACTGAAATCCTCTGGCGATCAGAGTGTTCCCCAAGTGATTCTTCACCACCATCCCTCCTGCCGAAATGGGAGGCTGCTGCCTTGGTAGCCCCATCCCACAAGCAGATCATAGGGCAATGTGGAACCTCAACTTCCGGGGAACCAGGACCACCCTGAGCTTTACCAGCCGGCAAACTGATCCATTCCTGGTACTGCTGGTGGTATTGCCGCATCAAAGCCGAAAACCCAAATTGTTTTCCTTCAAACACAACCCAGTTCCGGGACCGCCAGATTTGCCATAGGACAGCCGTAACCGCCATGACCAAGTGGTCCTGATGGAGGATATTCAACAATCGTTTCAGGAACAAAGGAAATGTGTGACGAGGCAACCCCTGCCCGAGATATTCCAAACCTGAGTAGTCCCAGAGGGCTCGTGCCACCGGGCACTCCAGGAACAAATGCTCCAAGATTTCTGACTCCGTATATTCATATTCACAACAATCGTTGTTAAGACAAATGAGTGTGATCATCTGTTAGAAACACAGGGACTAGCAGGTCGGGTTAGAGGGTCTTCACTCGACTCTAGTGGGATATTTTGCTATTTCCTTTGTAATTTGGGAGAACCTATTAAAAGGTTGAAGTACTATTTTCCAAAACTAAGGGCCCGTTTAGTATTGTTGCTTGTTTTTGTTGTCTGTTTTGTTTTATGAAATTTGGAAAACAAAGAAAAAAAATCGTGTTTAGTTGGGTTTTTATTTTCTGTTGTGAATGAGAGTTGCACAACAAGGCCCAAATATGAGAAACAATAATTTATTGCTTTGGATATGATTCTTAAACATGTTGCACACGGGATTCCTACTGGTTGGGCACTTGATTTCATTAAACCAGACCAGTTTTCGAATCCCCACAGAAGCAAAAATATTTCTTTATTTTTTTTTAACTCAGCCCCCCCCCCCCAAACCCTACTTCAACATATCACTATCAGCCGCCCCCATACCATTTTTCCATCTTCTTCTCGACGACAGAGGAGTTCACCTCCGAAGGTCGCCCTCGCCCAGGCCTCCGGCGCGACCCCTCCGCCTCCGCCCGACGACGCCTCGCCTCCGCCAGCGCCGCCTCGCCTTGCCTCCGCCCGCCGCAGCCCGCGCAGCCGCCCAGCCCGCCGACGTCCGCCCGCGCAACCGCCGCCGACGCCCGCCCGCGCAACCGCCGCCGACGCCTAATGAAGCAGTCGATCTGTTTTCGCAGATGGAGGTGCAGGGCTTGGAGCCTGATGCAGTCACTATATCCACAGTTCTCCCAGCATGTGGAGACGTTTCAGCTGCATCGTTAGGAAGGAAAATCCACGATTATGTTGAACGAAAGGCCCTCCGCCCTAATCTGCTTCTGGAGAATGCCCTGATTGATATGTACGCCAAATGTGGGTGCTTGATCGAGAATGCCCATCATCTCTTTTTTCTGGTTTTTTAGTTCTTATAGTAGTAACTAAACGCGTTTTTGTTCTTGTTTTCAGTTTTCATGATTTATCAGATTTACACAACACCACTGCAACCACAACAGCAACAAAATGATACTAAACGGGACCTAAGAAAGAACAATATTAAAATCCCTAATTGCCTATTTCTTTTTCTTTTCTCTAGTCTCCCCAGCCCCAATTTCTTGCCCAATTCTTCTCCTATTCTCAATCTCTAATCCTAATTCTATTCTCCATTCTTTCCCAATATCTATAATTCTTACATTGGTATTGAGGTCCGGATGCGAGAATGAAGGTTAGATGCTAAATTCCCTTACCAAAGCAATGTCAGGGAATTGGATGCTCGTGGTGATGTCGTCCAATGATAGCCTAGAGTAGTCCAACATTGTTTTGTTATTCCCTCTATTGTCAACCAATGAGTGATCTTCTTCAGCCATGGCTATGTTTGTTGCTGCTCTCGCTAGTGTCTATGCAAGATATTCTCTATTTCTGGTGGTTGACCTCTTTGCATAAACTAACTTAAACTAGGAAAACTAAAACGAACACAACATGTGTTGCACAAAACCCCCAAACCCACATTCTCCTATACGTTTGTGTATTGTGGAGAATTTGAAAGTCTCGAAATAAGGTGGTATTTGAGCATTATCAGTCTCATGCCCAGCCTCTAGCTCGTCAATGCTTTTTCCAAGTCTGCGAAGTCTCTTCCTCTCTCCCTCCGGTACCCGTCCCTCCCCTTCAACCCTCAAGCTCCCGCCTCTCCTCCTGGATCCCTCCTCCTGTTGGCTATCTGAAGATCAACTTTGATGCTACGGTTCGTGCTTGCGGTTGCTCGTCTGGACTAGTGGTTCGTGGAACAGACGGGCATGTGGCGTTGGCAGTAGGGTTCCAACACCCAGGCATTGTTGACCCCTACCTCGCAGAACTTCTTGCAGCTCGAGACGCTATCTCCCTCTTGGTCTCCAAGTCCCTTCCTTGTGTCTTCATCGAAGGTGATTCAGAAGTGGTGATTCGTCAGCTTCGCCAGGGCATTTCTTTAAATTCCCTCGGAGGTCCGGTGCTACGTGATTGATTCCAGCTCCTGTCTCGGTTTCTGTTTCCTTAGAGTTTAGAGCAGTTCCTAGAACTGCTAACGGGGCTGCCCATAGAGTGGCGCAGAAAGCCCTGTTACTTTCTCCTCTTGAGATCGGTTCCTTCAACTTTGTAGGGCGGCTTTACTGATGTATTGGTTTGGGAGGGTTGTGGGAAAGATTGTATAGTTTTTTCTCTCTTGACATTTCTTGGAAAAAAAACAAAGAATAAAAAGAAAAAACATTAAAAAAATATAGCAATAATAAAATGATTAAAGTAACTGAATTAAGTCTTCCTAATATCACAGTGACCCAACAAATGGCGTCATAAACTTTGTGGCCTCTTTTTAGTATCAATACTGAGGCAAGTACACCCGTCGTAGAAGCAATACAATAGCAAGCAACGTCATATCCCACAGAGACTATGGACTACTAGTAGTAGAGTTATCTATCATTTAATCAATATTTTAGCTATTAATTTAATTAAGAAAATAATTAATAAAGCAATAAAAGACATCAACGACTAATATTGGGGTCGGTTAGCATGCTAACCCCCTTGAGAGGTTAGAAAAATGACACCCCCTGGGGTATTAAATACAACTATAGAATTTAATACACATTAAATACACATTAGAAATTAAATTCACCATATTAATTATTTGTTTTTTTTTTTCAAATTAAAATCTACACTATATACATTCTCTCTCCCTATATCTAATTTTTTCTTTTTCAGCAGCCTCCCACCGCCACACTTCTCCGGTGAAAATCCCATCGACAGACTCCCTCCAACCGCCTGCAAAAAATATACCACTGCATTGATACGTTGTACCACTGCACTGGTAGCGATATCAGTGCACTGGTACCAATGTCATATCTGAGTATCAGTGCAGTGGTACAAATACCAGTACAATGGTGCAAGATATCAATGCAATGTTATATTTTCGCAGGTGGCCGGATAGAGTCTGCCAGCGGGATTTTACCGGCAAAGTGTGGTGGTCGGAGGAAACTTGGTTGTCGGATGCTGCTGGGAAAGGAAGAATCAGATATAGGAGTGAGAAAGATCAAAGATGAGAGAGAGAATTGTATTTTGTATATGTTTAGATTTTTGACAAAATACACTTGTATAGCCATAACTTTCACGTTTGTGACAAATATAACCATAACTATCGAAAAACACAAAATAGCCAACAAATCGGATGGTCATGTGACAAATTTAGCCATTTCCGTTAGAAACTTTAACGGTGTTAAAAGCTCCGTTAGTTAGGTTAACGTTAGGCTGAATAGGATGCCAAATCATCACCCACGTCAGCGACCAGTCATCATATTATTGCCACATCATATTGATTTATAAAAATAATTAATTTGAAATTAAAAA